CTTTTCCCATTTTGTTTTTTAGCTCCTCCGATAGTCTGAGTGGGTTTAAGGCTTTGTCACTTTTATCTTTGAATTTAACTATCATCCTAAATTCACCCTCCTCTTCAGATCTTGGCATTTTCCTTGTGCTTTGGGACTCGTCACTCTCACTTCCACTTCCATTGTCAGATCTATCTCTTTTTTCAGATTGTCTGGACTTTTTGTCATTACTCCCAGCACCATCACTAGTTTTCCCCTTCGGCGGCATAGCCCATCCCTCGTTGGGGAGCTGCCTGCTGCTTCAGCTCACAACACAAACTCTCACAGGAGATGCCAATTGAGATATCAACTACTTGTCCCTTGTAAGATTAATGAGTCTCAAAGTAATTTGAATCGCCCTCCAAACCGTACAACTCCTCCTAGCCGTGAATCATCCAGTCTTCGGCGTCCGGAACCAGACAAAGACTTAACAGAAACACCAGGCATATATACACAGGGACTAACGAGCAGGGCGGGAGCAACACAGGTGACAGGGATCAAGGTTAACGAGGCAGGCAGAGAGACAGCAGGGGGGAACAGAGAGGCAGGCAGAGTGATAACTGGGGGAGCAGACAGAACACTTAACAGGCAGGTCAGAGAAGCAGGTTAGATTAAACAAATCTTCGAAAAAGCAAACAGGTTTCAGAGCAGGCTGGAGCTGACACAACATATGCGTGATTACTCAACAATCCGGCGGGGACTGGATGTCTGAGTCTCCCTCTTAAAGCTGTGGTTGATTGCCGAAGTTAGTTGTCAGTTTTAATCATCACAATTAAATTAAATAAACATTTGAAATATATCAGTCTGTGTGTAATGAATGAATATAATATCAAAGTTTCACTTTTTGAATGGAATTACTGAAATAAATCAACTTTTTGATGATATTCTAATTATGTGACCAGCACCTGTGCATCACACCACACCACACCCACCAAGCTCACAGCCGGGGCCTCGTGACAAAATGTTTTGTCAATGTTATTAGGTAGCTGGTTACAGTAAACTATCTGTAAAAGTCATCTTCTCTACCCAGTTATTCAGGAAAAAGTTAAAAATACCCAGAAATTTTAGTTCCTGTTTGCTTCTTGTCTTGTGTTTTTTGGTTCCAAGTAGGTTGGATTTCCGGCTCAGAAAGTCGGGAGAACCTCCCCAACCCCGACCTCAAAATCCAAGATGGCTGCTACTGGAATCAACAGTAGTGGAAGCTGTGGTACTTTAATGTTTACCACACTGTCTTATTGTGTCTCATTAAATCAGTTATACACACAGTCCTGTCCAACTTATCTCTGTAGACATGTTGTTATGGTGTGTTATGGTGTTTGAGTGTACAAAATAGAGCATAATGCATTATCATCAGCTGATATTGCTTAACAATGGCCAGAGGCATCAAACTTGGTTTTCCAGCTTAAATCTGTTGTTTTACTGGAACGCCGTCAACTCGAGTGTGACGTTATTCCCAGATCTGACCTCCGACTTCTGAGGTAAATAGAAAGCCTAAGCAACTCGCTTCCCCTCCGGCCCATGGGACCTTTTTTCGTGGGAAAAAATATGTCAACGGCGAGAGACAGCTTATTTTTTGAACCTGTTTGAACTGAGCCCTGAATTTCACATGATGTTTGTCAATTTAAAAAATTATTTTGTTCGTCAAGAAAGTTGCAGTCTGTCATGAAACAGTAAAGTTACATTTCGTTTTGTGTGAAAACTACATCTCTCGTCTTGTTCAATTTACGTCACCAACTGCTAGCTAGATAACTCGCTATGTTCCGTGCAGAAATATATCTCACCTGAGGTGTTTCATTCAACGGCTCTGTCCTTTTATCACATCATCTACACATGGGAGCTCTTTGACGTTAGCTTCAGTCATTGAGAGAAAAAATTACGTCACAATGACTTTTTGAATTTGTGGCCTTTGTAATTACGTATTTTCACAGTCTTAACTGTTGTACATCAAACTGCGACTTTCTTGACTTTTAAAAGTACATTTTTAATTGACCATCATTATATGAGATCAAAATACTTAGTTGTCCCTTGCCATTGACTTCTGTACATATTTTTTCCCAAAGTAAGATCCTATGGTGGTCCACCGGAAGGGGAGGGACTTAGACTCTCTACCATAGACTGTATATAAAAATTGGACGTAGACATCGTGACGTCACCCGTTGGTTTGTGGACTGCGGTGTGGCCGATAGGGCGCCGCCGTGTTGAATTTTTGCAACCAGCTGCACCAGACGTGACCATTTTTTGACGAGACGGTTGAGCTAACGGCCGGCGCTAGTAGCTTGCTTAGCTAGCTGCAGCTGTAATTCACGTTAACTGTCATTTTAACAGGGCTGACAATTTTGTCTAGCGAACAAAACTAAATGTACTCACCGACACAGACATGAAACTAGTGATTGAGAACATAAACTCTATGAATGCCAAACATCACTTCTTGTCCATACAGATCATATTCTGATTGTCTCCACTCCTTTTCGGCTCTTTTTGCACTGCCGCTTGTTCATCCTTTCTTTCCATTCTTTTGGTAGCTCCAGCGTATGACAGACCCTCTACCGCTCTGATCTGAATCACCATCCATTTCCTTTATTCTTTTCGGACATCGTGGTACGCAGCATGATGATTTCCTGCACAGTGTGGACACTTTACTTGCACCTGCTCTTCCTTACACGCCTCCCTTTCACAGTTCTTCTTCCCACATCTTCTGACTCCTCTACATACTTCAGCAACATGTCCATATTCCTGACAGCAGAAACATCTCTATATATCCTGGCAAAACCCCCACAAAAGTCAGACACACCGACATTACTTTCCCCCTTCTCCCCTTGTCGGAAACTTGTTAGCGTTTTTGCCACACAAACATCTTAAACACTTCGAAATGGCTCGGCCTCCACTGACAGCGGTACACCACTCATCATTTCCTGACCCACTGACCCGAGTGGGAAGCAAGTCAAACAGCTGTGATCTTCATACTCTCTAATCTTCAGCGCTTTATCTCTCTGCCGCCTTGACGCACGATCAATGATAACCATTCCACTACTTGTTATCGCGACCAATCGCACATCTTCAACCTCGTGCTGATCTTTGAATCTCCCGTCTGTTCGTGTCACAGCTATTAAAGGGGCTATATCTAGTTATACAATGAAATCACCTATTAATAAGTTACTTTTTTACAGCCTTTTATCAACTGGTTGTAACCTCACTTAGAAATGAAGCGACTACAGCTAACAAAGCCCGGTCCACTAACGCAACAAAACGACCGGCTGGCTGCACAATACAGACTCCAACACAAACTCCAACATAAACTTTATGTCAGGATAAAATCCAACAACAAAGTTTTATGTTCTAGAGCCTGTCAGGCCAACAGAATGAAATGGATGTCGGGTGAAAATACGGTCAACATCACAGAGACACCGCTGATTTGTTTTGGAACAGACAAAACTGACATTAATCCTGGCAGGTTGATGGCATATAGACAACATTAATAACATACGCACATAATCATAAGCAGATAACACACGAGCATGGATAAAACATAAAAGCATGTAAACTAGTTAACTTGTATGGCTTTCCACATTACTTCAACAGCTAACACACCCCACATTACTGTATTGGTCCGTACCGCAAATAAGTGAAACTTAAAGCTCGTTACCAGTGGGGGTCGAACATAAGTAAGAGTCCAGGAGATGTGCTAAAAACATATGTTTATTGAAATAAACATGAAATAAGTTCAAAATTTCATTAATCATCTGTTCTTGTTCCACATTCTTTGCAGAAAAAACAGCGGACTGTGGTCCGTATAAACCACCACAGGGAAAACAGATGAGCGAACACAAACATCAAAATGTTCTAAAGCCATGACTAGTGCCAAGGCCTCCCTTTCAATGGTCAAGTACCATTGAAAAGTTGCAGATCGGATGCTTTTTATCAAGTTTGTTTATTAAAGCTACATGCTTCACATTTTGCCTTTTTTCCAACACAGGACAGCCTGCCACAATATGTCCTCTTTTTTTATAATAGAAGCACTTGACGTCTTTTCCCTTCAAATCATCCTTATCAGCCTTAACATCAAGCTTCAAGGGACCAGCATTTCTGCAACCCCTTCGAGACACCACTAGGCCTATCCCTCACAATAGAAGTCAGGTTATCAACTTACCAACATTACAAAAAAGAAGATCCCCAAAAACATATTCATCAACTAAGACAGCAACGTTAAAAACATCACAAACCTTATGTTCATTTAAGTAAGTTGAAACCCTCTCTGGAAGACTGTTTTTAAAATTCTCCGTTAATGCTAACTATTTAAGCTGTGCAAAATCACCAACCTCATTAGATGAACACCAGCAACCAAAAAAAAGTCTCCTTCTCCCGAGCACAATACGTCTGATGGCCATACTTTTTCAGCTGGTGAAACCTTTGATGGGACGCCTCCGGCACCAGCTCACACACTCTAAGCACAGCAGCTTTTTCTTTGTCAAAATTAAGACTGTCTTCCGCCCGAAGTGATGAGTAAACTGTCTGCGCTTTACCACTCAGAACCCATTGCTGCAACAACAACGTGCACATTTAGTGTAGAAGTCACCCGCTCAAATAAGGTGAAATATTTGTCAGCATCCCTTTCATTAAGGAGGAACTAAGCAAATGTTTCTGCTTACATCAAAATTCCTACTTTGGAGCCACTTTGTTCCACCTGATCTCTGTATCCATGTTTTAGGGGGACGGTGACGGGCTACAATCAGGAGAGCAACAAGCGCTTCTGTTGTGGATGTATATCAACATTTAAAGTGCTAGACCCCAAAAATAAGAAGAGGTGAATTCTGTGCCCTGCCCCCTGTTCTGCCCTTTTTGAGACTTTTGTTTTGGTGTTCATGGTTCTGGACCTTGTTTGCGTTTCAGTCCTGTTTTCTGGCCCTCCTCATGACGTCCCTCCGCCCACTCTGGCTTGGTTTGGACTTTGTCTCCCCTGTCAAGTGTGTTAGTTGTTCCTGCCTGCAACCTCGCCTGGATCGCTCTTGCCGTTGTTTAAGCCTACATTTGGATATAGAGTTTCTTCATGGACTTGTTATCTTTGTCACAACATTTGGATTTTCTGTTCGGACATTACCTCTTCTTTTTGGATTTGTTTGGACGCTCTGTAAGTGTGCTCGCTTTTTGTTTGTACATCTTTGGACCTGAACCTGCCATTTAGGGCTGCAGACCTGTTCACCACTGGACAAACGTGACTAAAGTTTGAAATCTCAGGATGATTTAATTTTAACCTGATAAAGGAAACTTTCTCTTGATGCATAAACGTGTTGCGACCTTCAACAAAGCAACTGTTTTATCCTGCTGTGGTCAGTATCCTTTCCAAGGGTTTTACCTGGTGTAGTAAAATAACATGTGTCTGTGTAGTAGATCTATCATAACTGTGGATCTGAGGCTCAGAACTGTGAACTGTGTTCAGATTGGGGTGGCTGTGGCTCAGGAGGCAGAGCGAGTTGCCCGTTAATCCCCGGCTCCTCCAGGCTGTATGTCAAAGTGCCCTTGGGAAAGATGAACCCTGAAGTTCCCCTGGTGGCTGTTCCACATTCCTGTGTGAATATTAGTTTTTGTTTGAGCGCTTAGGCTCAGTGTATGAATGTGAGTGAATGTATTGTGATGTAGTGTAAAAGCACTTTGAGTGGTTACAAAGACTAGAAAGGCGCTATACAAATACGGAGCATTTTCATTTGATATTTCAGTATGGAGAAGTGTAAGATAAAAAAAGAGGAAACAGCTCAACGCATTTGTAGTTATTACTCAACGCACGTCTACTGTTACTCACTTCTCTTCTTTTCTCCTTGTTCAGCTTCGATTCTAGTTTAGCATATGTGTTTTCTGTTTATTTTTAAATCACATTCTTGTTATGCTGACTTGTGGTTTCTTCTCCACGAAACCACAGTCTTTCCCTAAACCTAACCAACCACGTGTTAGAAAACCCTGAGGGAACCATTTGAGTCACAGACTTTGGTGTCTTTTTACTTCTTCCTTAAACTTATATTGCAAATACAGGACTAAAGTGTACATAGTACATAGAGAAGTATGCAGACCATTATACAAATAAAAACCTTGCCAGGGGTGTTCTATATTATGTAAAGATGTTAAAAGAGGAGGCACATGTTGACAGTTTTTCCAGCCTGTTTGTTGTTGGATTTAGAAATTAAATTGATCCAATGTAGAAGTAGAAAGTTTACTGCTGGTTTTACATTTCTGAATGTGGAATTTTGCTGTTATAATTAATTTTCTGTGTACCAAGGAAGATACTTAAACGATCTGGCGAATACTGGCATGCTGGAACGGGGTAGATAACTGGTGGCTGATTGCGAAAAGAGGTGCAGGTGTGTGAGAGTGGAGCCAGGAAGACCACGCCCACCTGCAGACAGACAGACTCACAGGGATAACGGGGACAATAGGATGGGGAAACAACAGAAAACAATAGGTAAACAGAGGAGGGGAACTGCTGCATATAACAAATGGAGAGAACAGCTGGTTCACCAGTAAAATCTGATTGTGTACAAAATCTAAAAAGAAAAAAGCAATTTGTTCCTACATAAATATCTCTGTTATTCCAATTAAGATACCTGTGTGGTGAGAAATGTTGTTTATAAATTAGAGAGCATGCTAAAAGGACCTGCTTGTGGGATGTGGATAGTTTTACAGTGACTGTGTCCACATTACCACGTCCAAGCATGCCCACCCACAAACACACACATTCACTACTTACATTTGTAGTGAGAAATAATATAAGCTTGTATGTTGTTACTCAAATGTAAGTCAAATGAGTTAATGTCATGAAAGCAGTACCATATGTAACAGATTAACATTTAATGTATGTGACTGGTAAACAATAAAGAGCATTTTTATAACAAATTTACACATACAGTAAAAACTACACTGTAGATTTAATTACAAACACAAAGTATATTATATGTACTGATTCCAGCAACATGATCACAGTATAGGATGTAAACAAAATGTTTTCTGACTGAATACAAACAAGTAATGACAACAGCATGAAAGGCAACAGAATACATACATGGCAAAACTATAAATAGTGCAGCAGTAATAGTTGTGTACGTGTGTGTATGTGTGTGTGAGACACATGCACAGGTTCCTCCTAAGTTTTAATAATAGCTCATTGGAGCCACAAAGAGAAGAAACTGGCAGCATCTGTGTCAGGTAGTGTTGTAGTACTTGAGACCGTTCTTGGTCTCGAGACCGGTCTTAAGACCCCTTTCTGATTGTCTTTGTTTTGTCTGAAACACCCAATAGGGGTGTGGAAAATAACTGGTTTTAGCATCTAGCAGCTCTACTAATAACAGCAGCATCAGAAATAAAAATAGCAGCAGCAGAGGTCAGTAATAACGCTGTAATAATGTGATAATGCTATGCAATGTATCATTAAATAGCTGCTTTTCATTACTACCTACTTGTTTGGATTGTTACAAATACTTAGTAGTCACACAGTGAGAAAAATACATCTTTGTCCTATTCGTTTTACAATCACATCGTAGCCTCATAATCGTAATGAGGATGCCTAAAAATTCCCACCCTTGAGGTGATGCATCGAGATGCATACGGATATTGAATCAAATCGTGAGACCAGTGAGGATTCATAGACATTATCTTGCTCTTTTCTGTTCTGACAATAGCAGCTAAGCTTTACTTCCAATTAGCTTGTGTTGCACTCTCTTTCATGACGTGTTTGATTTTGACTGTCCGATGCGCCGGGGCCTGTAAAAACAATTTATTTACATATATATTTAAAAATCTGACCGGTCTACCCCAAACAAATGGTCTGGCCCTTCTGGAATTTGCCAGAATTTGCCAGATGGCCAACCCCCCACTGATGAAGAGGTACCAGGCAGGTGCAGAGGGGGGTGCAATAGCTGCCCTTTTGCCCTTTGCTTTTGCTTTTTTCAAACGCAAAATTTCCTTCATTTTATTTATTTTAAAAGTTGTAAAGGCCCTTTTGTGAAGGCCTGCCTGATCAAACTTTCAGTAAAATCAATTCATAATAATTTCGCAGTAAATAAAATGACCCAATTGATGACTTTTCACCTGATGACCTCATCCGTGACGAGCTGACAGCTGATATTACTTCTACACTATAAACAAAGGTGCTCTGTTCACTTTGTTCGGTTTGGGGGAGAAAAGTTTCACGGGCGTAATTTGTAATTTGACCAAAATCTTTGCACTTGAACTAGGATTATTACAGTGACTTAATAAAAGCATTGTGCCTTGAAATAAAAAATAAGTATAACAACATTGGTAAAATTCTAAGCCTATTCCTCCGACTTATAGCCTACTTCAGCCCTTATCCAAATAAATAAATAAACAGTAGTGTTTATAACAGCTCAACTACAATAAAAACTCAATAACTGGAAGAACATGTAAAAATGTCAGTACCAATGTAAAAAAAAAATAATATTCCTGACATCAAAGGAAAGAGTGAAGAAGAAATGGCCCTATAAGATTTGAGAAAAATGTATGAATTGTTGAAAACAAACATAGGATATATATTAGCTGATTTAACAATTATGTGACCATGAAAAGATGTAAAGATTGTTGAGTGTGTGGGACTGGCTCACAGTGACTGACCTGCTGTAATACTGCAGCATCTGCCAAGGCTGACTGCTAAGGAGACGCTCACAGAGCTGCACACCAAGAGCTGCAATTATGGTCACAGAATTGTTTAATCAGCTAATATATATCCTATAGTTGTTTTAATATCTGTAGTTACAGATCACCTCCAGTAGTATCAGCAACAACACAATAGCAGCAGCAGCAGCAACTGTTCCCTGTAAGTTATGTCATCCCACAGTGTTTTAAAGCTGGAGTTGAGTATTCCCTGTTTCTTTTTGCGTCCCAGCATTTGCTGATGTATCGACACAGAAGCATCTGTATATGCGTTTCAACAAGGAATACATAACGATATATTTCTATGTCAGTAGTATGAGAAGAGTCCTATTTAAATCCTTGGTCCATGTGTCCTTTTCGAGCACCTGCACTTCCACAGGTCTCTGCACGGCCCTGAGAGGTACTATCCTTCTTGGCACAAGAAGAGAAAAAACTTAGTCAGAGCGACTTTCTGAAACGGCAATCAGGTAAACTGGTGGTCTCTCACCGCTCTCACATTCACTCAGGATCCAGTGGCGTGTTCTTCCTCAGTTTCACCCAGTGCTGGCAGTGTTAAGGGCGATTAGCTCACCGCCGAGGGCTCGCTGTTAGCCACCGGGGGTTGTTATTGTTATAATAGTGTTATGGAAAAATCCCCATTTTTTTCAATAGCTTCTGTGTCATGTGATTCAGGGACGTCAAACCAATGGCGAAATGTAGTACAACACTGTGCAAATGCATGGGTGTCTTTTACACTGGGGACGCTGGGGACATGTCCCCATTTATATGTCCCCAAAATAACTTGCAACAATGTTAAATAACAAACCTTGAGAAAGGTTTAATTCCACAATAAGAAAACACTAAATGTATTGTAATTATATGTCCACTGTAACACTGTAAAAGACAAGCTGCTGATTACTGCATTACATTACATAATATTTTTTATATTTTGAATTTTCACCTGCTCCCTGAATTTTGTGTTTCACTTCATATAAATCAATACATTTTCACCATAAGTTGGTGCAGAAATGTCTCCAGAATGTAGGAAATTAAGTATTTATTTTCTGGGGGAGGACCACAGATCCTCATCGCTCATATATTTCAGCACTGAATTTTTCTTCAAAACTGGTGTTTAAATATCTTCTCGTCTTGTTTTTGTGATATATTGGGCATCGTCACATCTCGTCTTGACGGGTGCATCAAGCAACTACCACAGGGAGCATTTCAGAATAAGAGCGTTTTGCCTGCCGGATTTTGCCGACATGTTTAGATTTTGGTGATTTGGTGATTTAGTGCTTGCTTTTTGTGCCTCTACTATGATTAAGAAGGCTACATAGTTAAACTGTTTCTTTTTTGTCTGATTTAGCTGTGTTTATTGTTGATAAACGATCAGAAGTCTGTAACAGGTATTTTATTTAGAAAATTGACTGAATTCGCTGCCGTTTCTGTATCTGACTTCCTGCTCGGTTCATGCGCTCTGTGCTGCTTCACGCTGGGACGCTTCTGGTGTGAGCACAAACATTTAGCAGAAAGGCTGCAATCAGCTCTGTCAGCAGAGAAGCAGACAGACTCTGTGGACTTTCAGAGAGAGTCTGGGGTCATGTAAACTTGGTTAATATGACTTTTTAGCAGGTGGCCACACGATGAAGCTCCGAACCCAGTGTGCTGGGAGTCTAGCTCTGCACCCGCATAACATGGAAGGTATTGGGGGGGGGGAGCATTTCCATAAAATATTAATAACTATTAATAGAAAACAGAAAAATGACTCAAATTTATTATGAAGGGGTGAGTCTAATTTGCCTAATATAGTCCTACAATTCGGCATTGGTTTGAAGGTATTGAAAAAAATTATGATTTTTCCACAACACATAACACATAATTTAATGATGGTCCCTAAACCAACCCCCGGTGGTTAAGAGTGAGTCCTCGGAGTTACACTGCCAACACTGGGTGAAACTGAGTAAGAAGACGCCTCTGGATCCTGAGTCAATGTCTGGCCAATATCCAAATTTAAACTAACTTCACTGCGGTTGCTCACCCCTCCTCCTCCTCCTCCTCCTCTCAAAATCTGATGTCAGCAAATAACAGAAATGTTCAGTTTGTGCTTCCCAGTGAGTCCCTCTCTTGCCAGACCTTTTCCCCCTGACCAGTGTTAGAGTGACATACAACTATTTACTACGTTTCTCAACCGCAGACGGGCAGTAAATCAGTTTTTAAACTGCAGCTCGGAAAACATTAGGCTACTCGCGCATTCCAGCAGCTCATTCCTCTGTAGGGGATCCAGCGCGTTGTCACTCCAGCTCCTCACATGTGGACGCTTCTTTTGCAAACATTTGAATGGCTGTCTGAAGCCGAGCTTACACTCACATCTGACTGAGGTATTTTTCTGTTATATTACCTATATATCTATTGTATTACCTGCAATTTGTTTGATAATGACTATTTTGAACATTCCAGGCTAAATAGCCCGTTGTTATGGCTGGAGCACATGGACAGTGATGGTCTAGGGGGAGACCGGTATGGTTCTAACACATTTAACTGCAGCAACTATACATTGCTAAATATTTAAGCTAGACTTCTCAAACTTTTCTACAAAGTACCCACATTTGTTTACTACAAATGGCACCAATTCAATCAGAATATCACAGACCTCACGAGTTCATCTCATACATCGTGTTCCTTTGTTACAGGGGAGATTCTAGGATCAGGATCTTTAGGGTTGCTCGGCCCCTAATGAGAATGTAGGATGCATACAATGCCTTGCAAAAGTGTTCACTAACTGGTGGAGGGAATAAGTATGCCTAGAGAGGAGCTGGTGCA